CCTTAACTAATTATTGGTAGTTTTCTCTACTACAGGCACAAAGGGCAACCCAACGAAGCATTGAAGTTCTTAAATAAAGCACGAAAGGACAGCTCTTGGGGCCAGAGTGCCACCTACTACATGGTGCAGATCTGTCTGAACCCAGACAATGAGATTATGGGCGGAGACGTTTTTGAGAACCTGGTGGCTCAGAGCAAGTAAGGGCCAGTGGGGGCAGGAGCAGAACCCTAGGGAAGTCAGAGACAGCCTGTAGCCTCTGGGTAAAGGCCAAGTGAGGGCCAGGAGGCCAGGCTGCCTGCCACTGTCCGATGCCTACAGAGCCACCGACAGGAAGGAGATAGAGCAACACGGCGTGCGCACAGCGGAGAAGCTGCTGAGGGACTTCTATCCTCACACAGCCATGGGCCAGACCCAGCTGCAGCTTCTGCATGGCCTCTGCCTGCTGGCCACCAGGGAGAAGGCCAACATGGAGGCAGCACTGGGCACCTTCATCGAGATGGTGCAGGCTGAGGTAAGCTGGCTTACGGGGGCAGGCGGGAGGCCAGGTAAAGTCCCATGACCAAAGTGCACTGACACTCACGTCCCACCTGGTGTGTAGAAGGACAGCATCCCTGCCTTGCTGGCCCTGTCGCAGACCTACCTGCTCCTGAAGCAGATCCCTAAGGCACGCACACAGCTGAAGCGCCTGGCCAAGGTCCCGTGGGTACTGACTGAGGCTGAGGATCTGGAAAAGAGTTGGCTCCTGCTGGCGGACATCTACTGCCAGGGTGGCAAGTTTGACCTGGCCTCAGAGCTGCTGCGGCGCTGCCTGCAGTACAACAAGGCGAGGGGCGCAGTAGGGGCAGCTGGGGGGTGACTGGGGAGTGGGAGGAGGGTGCCACTGGAGGTGTGCCAGGGGTGTGCAGGGTCTGGGGTCAAAGGAGATACAAAATAGGAACCAGACGGGAAGAAGTGTAACCAGAGGGGCACATGGGCAATAGATGAGGACAGGAATTTGGGAGCTCAGGTACACAGGAGTCATGGCCAGAGGAGAAAACACAATTACAGAAATAGATGGGAAAAGTTTGTGGGGTCTGGCCAGGAAAGGGCATTTGCAGGTCAGTGCATACCATAAACCTCACACAGAAGGGCTGCTCAGAAAGGGGTTATGCCAGCATTGGGGTAGCTGAGGTGGAGGTGGCACCGTTCACCCCTCCCAAAGGTGGGGTGCCCTGGGATCCCTTTGTGGTTTGGTAAAGCAGCTCACCACCATCCCTTGCCCCCTTCTGGTCCTGGTCCCTCCCTGGCCCCTGGACCAGCAAGCTACCCCTTCACAGAAGCTCTGACCGGCTTTCCCTGCAGTCCTGCTGCAAGGCCTATGAGTATATGGGCTTCATCATGGAGAAGGAGCAGTCCTATAAAGACGCAGCCACCAACTACGAGCTGGCCTGGAAGTACAGTCATCAGGCCAACCCTGCCATTGGTAAGGCTGCTCCCGAGGTGCATGTGAGTGTGGTATGGAAGGGAGGTAGATAGAAGGACCCCCAACTTGACCCCAGAACTCAGGGCCTGTACCCTGGCTGTTGTGGGAACCAGAGAGGTTCTCAGATCATCAGAGTTCTACCATTTGTATTCTCCATGCTCCGAACAGGTTTCAAACTCGCTTTCAACTACTTGAAGGGCAAGAAATTTGTAGAGGCCATTGAAATCTGCCACAATGTAAGCTACCAACACTGGCAAGAAGAGGGCCTGGTATAGTGGAGGGGAGTCTATCTAACACTACACATCCATTCTCTCTTTGTTCTAGATCCTCTCAGAGCACCCCAACTATCCTAAGATCAGAAAAGAAATTTTGGAAAAGGCCCAAGGGTCCCTGAGGCCCTAGCTGTGGTTAGAGGGGCCTTGGCCAGCAGAAGCCATCAACCTGCTGAAGTTGTGTGGAGGGGTGAGAAGAGGGTCAGTAGAGAAGGGATTGAGAAAATGACATATTCTTCCCTGTTTCTGTACTGTTTGTGGTTTATTTTGAATCATGCCTCATCTGGCCTAAGGGACATCCCAAAACTATATGTTTTTAAGGCACAAGAAGTAATTTCACTCTGGAAAGAAAGACATCAGCTGGCCTAACATCTGCTGGGCTCACTGGATACTGGCTAACAGACCTCACTTTTATCCCAGACTCTGCAAGGGGGTAGAGGGGAATGAAGAGGGGGCTCCCAATGGAATGGTGGTTAGAAAAATACCCTACAGCTATTTTTAAATTGTTGCCTTGCCTCTTCTGCCTGGTTCCCAGCATCCCAGAGCTAAAGAAGCAACTGCTGCTCCCTGCCATGCTCCCACTGAGTCTGCCTGGCAGCAGGCCCAGACAGGAGGACCAGCTGCAGAAGGCCCACACAGCAGAGGCCCTGTGTAAAAGGGCCTGTAGGTTGCAAGGGCCATTGTCTTACATTGTCCATACATCTATCTCCCCTTCCCCCCTCTCCAAGTCTTCAGCCAGCTTCTGCTGGTCTTAAACGGTTTGGGACAAACCTGTTTACCCTTGCCTGGCACAGAAAGGTACATACCAAGAAAAAAATAGTCTACACTTCAGCTTTTGTAAAGGACATTGGCCAACTAATTCATCCTCCAGAAACCCTTTTAATGCCTACGGGGGCAAATGCAGTGGTCCCTATTTAGAGGAATAATATTAATTACAACTAGCAAGAGTGTGACAGAGGTCACTTTTTCTGTGCTCCCAATACACTCTTCCTGTTTTTCAGGATGGCAATAATGGGCCAGTCTGGCTTCAGGGGAAGGAACTCTGAAATGGGAGCCAGGAGGCCTTAGGTTTTCCCCATGAGACCTTCTCAAATCCCTTCCCCTCTTCGGGTCTCAGTGTCCCCATCTGTGGCAGGAAATTAGCTTTGTTTCCCAAGTCTTGGTGCAACTTTCTGTCAGTGATATACAGCAAACATTTTATTTAAAGTTTAACAGCTGTGAATCTATACATCATTTTTGTATAATAGAGAAAAACTAGCACAACAAACTCAGGGATTCATGGGATGGGTCTAACTTTTAAACATACCAATACAATTGATTTAAAGAAAAATACTTAGGTCCAGGTACAGAATAATCTCAGCACTTTGGAAGGCAGAGGGGACAGTTTGGGAGGATTTACTCGAGCCCAGGAGTTTGAGGTTGCTGTGAGCTATGATTGTGTCACTGCACTCCAGCCTGGGCAACAGAGCAAGAACTTGTTTCTTAAAAAACAAACAAACAAACAAACAAACAAAAAAGAAAAAAACAAAGAAAAATATGAATAGAATGGGTAGAATGTAGAGATGAGCAACTTCCAAGAGTCCAGTGAGTAAGGTTTAGAAATGGTGAATAGATAAGGATCCCTTTAGAACAGCCTGCGTTGTCCTTGATGGCTGCTGAGCCATACTACTACTGGTCATGCTTATGGTCTCTTGGCGAGTTGGTTATCGGAATGCTTTTCTCAGGTTACTCCATCTTTCCTGTGGGAAAACCCAGTCCCCTTTCCTGTAATGTGCTTTACTACCCAGTTTTGTTGGGATAGGTTTGTTGAGAGACAGGTCTGTCTGTATAATGATGCTATAAAGGGATTGTACATTAATCATGTTTTTTATTGCTGTAAAATCTAAGTTGTCTTCATTTATATCAAAGAGAAAGAAAAAGTGAAGAATTGACCCTGTGGCCTGAGATGGAAACAAGCAATACTCAGTCTAGCAATGGGCTGAATCCATGGGTAGGAGCCTATAAAGGCTTCCTGCGTGTCACCGGAGCTGCTGAGGGCTGCCACCCAGTTAAAAGTAGACACTCAGAGCCCTTGGAGATAGCAAGACTTTGTATCATGTGTGCTGAAGCAATCTACAAAAGGGCCTCTAGGCACCAGTGAACGAGGGAGGACAACTGAATGTACCAGGGTACATTCTATCTTGAGATGCCTAACGCCTAGCTATCCCCAGCTTGACTGGTAGACATACTCCCCCCTCATCATAGGCCGGACCCAAACCATGAGTCCTCTAATGGCCATGTGACCATGTCCATGCCTGTCTAGAGATAAGTGACAGATAATTAGAGAAGGCAAAAATGTAAGGGTTAAGCATAGAAAATGAGTGGCAGAAACATGAAAATAGAACGGTGCACATGTTCTAGGGACTCTTCTGAGTGCTTTGGATATAGGAGCTAATGAGGGGAGCAGTGTTATTATTTGCTCAGTATTAAGGACACACACAGACCTAGGGGGTAAGTAATTTACATGTCACTTCACTAAGTAGTAGAAGAGCTAGGATTCAAACCCTGTTCTGAGTCTATACTCTCACCAGTAAGCCAAAAAGATGAGCGAGTTCAGCACAGACCCAGAGGCAGAGAATTAGAGCAAGAAAAGGAGACCCAAATTAGATCTCCATCAGTGGTTCCTCCTCCCAGAACGTGTAAAAACCGTATCATTCCTAAAGGAGAGGTCGACCTTCCTTAGGCCCCCAGACTGGGGCTCCCTAGAGCAGGGTGCGGCCTGCTCCTCTGGCCTGCAGCCCAGCTGGTCTGCCTGGGACAGGTCAGACAGGTCTGGCTGGTACAGACAGATGAAGTTCTAGCGCTTCCCGTGATCAAGCCCCCAGGGACAACAGCTGCTGAGCCTATGGCCTCCACTAGCCACATCCCCTTGCCTTACACCCACCCAAGTGGGTGACTTCATCCTCAGGGCCAGGCCCTAGCTCAGTGTAAGTACATGTGAAGGAGGGTGCCCTTGTGTCAGAAGACCTTGCTGCTGCTCCCCACTACCCCTTAAATGATCTCCAGGGAAGAATGAATTAATTCAAAGGAAAACCTGCTCCATCTGCCTCTCAGCTAGCTCCTGCCTCTAAGCTGACCAGCTCACCTGGAAGGAGGCCAAATGTACTATGTACAGCTGGTCCCACCCCCAACACAACTTCAGTGTCCACACTGCCCTACAGGAACCATCTCCCCTCCCTCCTAAGAGGGTACCCATGCTTCCCATCCCACAAAGGTGGACCACACTGTTAAAAATAGAACCTCTTTATTGGTACCTATAAGCTCAGGTACAAGGTGTTCCCATAGCACACAGGCTGGCAAGGCCTCCTAGGCGAGGGAGCAGGTCCAGAGCCTGGGTTTCTTGGCACAGACACAGGGAAAAATGAATAAATTATAGTTCTCACACTTAGGGACAATATAGAAATTATGATGCAAAATTCATTATCAGCAAACATTAAGTCCTAAGGAGACACCCTTCACCAACTAGCCTCAGGGCTTGGGCAGGTGGGCCAGGCTGGAGTGCAGTGCCCAGAAGGCCCTGAGATAAGTAGTCTGTGGCATGCTTCATGCCCCCAAGGTAAGCCCTTCATCCTCTCTGCACCTCTGATTTTCCCCTTCCCCCCCTAAATAAATGGGCCTGGAATAAAGGCTATAGCCCTTGGGGAGGAGATGGATAGAGGCAGGAAGTAGAGGGGGCTAGTGAGGCAGAAGGGAGTTTTGGTCACAGCTGGTTAGCCCAGCCTCTCCCTCTGCCCACACTTTAGCTCCAGCCTGCTCAGACATCCAGGAACCAGGTAGTTGACACTGTAGATCATAGGGCTCAAATCCAGACCTAGTCTCCACCAAAGCTCCATCCGGGCAAGGGTAGATCTACAAAGCAAAAGGGACTCAAGGGTCTGAGCCCATCCCACTCACCCCGATACTACCCACAGCCATAGAGGAGCCAAAAGCCACCTCAGTCTCCAAATAAATTATGGAAATAAATTAGTCTTCACAGTCCAGAGGATTTAGCCACCCATGGGTCTAAGGCTCAGGAGAAGCCACCTGATTTCAGTCCTGTCTCACCATCTTTGGCTAAGAAACAATCGTGCAATGACCAAGAAGTGGTCTGCCAAGGAGCCACACTTTTCTCTTCTTCCTGGCATGAGTTGTGGAGTGGAAGATCATTGAAGGGCGGGGGAGGCTGGGCAGCTGAAAGGGGGAGCCCCCCACCTATCCTTTCTTTAACACAGAACAGTTAAAAACAAAATAAATAAATAAATCAAGAGTGTTGCATGAAAACCAGGAGTGTGCACATGGCGCCCATGGGTGAGCCAGCCAACAGGAGACTATTACATACAGACCTTGGGAAGCCCCAAAATTACAAAAAAGCAGCAACAGGGGTCTTGAAAAAAGGCATTCTAGTCCTCACACCAGCATAGGCTCCATCAGAGATGCTGGGGCAGTATCCTCAAACTGGCTGTCAGTAAAGGGAGCCAGGGCTTCAGCAGCTGGCTCGGACAAGCCCATGAGGGTCTCCAGGAAGCAAGTGCTAATGTCCCCAGGTGAAGAGAGGCCAGGCAAAGGGAAGTGAGGTGACTCGAGGTTGTCCAGGCTGTCAGTCACCTTCTGGGAGGTGTAGTGAGGCCCAAGACTATAATCTGGCAGAGCCTGGAGCAACTCAAAGGAGTCACAGGAAGACAAGCTGAGGTCCACTGGGCTGCTCTGGCCGGCATCCACATTGAGTGGCACTGAAGTGCCAGGGAGGCTGCCTTCTTTTGACCCTTCAAGGCCACCATTTAGAAAGCAGCTGGCATCCAGGTTGGCATTTTCATCCAGAATGCCTGACACGAGGCTAGAGCCAGCATAGCTGTGGGTCCAGCTGGCCAGACCACCAGGGTCACCAGTACCAAAGATGTCAGCTGGGTGGAAGCAGCTGAAGTTGTCCAGGTTCCCTATACCTGCTTCCTCCTTCTCCTCCTCCTCCCCACCAAAGTCAGAGTCACTGAAACTCAGGATCCGGGCCAGACTGTCATCGTCCACACCAGGCTGGAAGCCAGGGCTAGGCAGACCTGGGTGAGAGGGGCAGTCCGGAACCTCGCTAGCGCCAGATGCTGAGGAAGATGCTGTAGAAGAATCAGTCATATCACTGCTGCAGCTGTTGTCTCCCAGCTCACTGCTCACAGGAGGTTTGGCCAGAGGGAAAGTGGGAACCAAAGCCTGCTCTGCAGGGCTGGGTGGGCTGCCCTGGGTGGGGCTCTCCAGCTCCCCAAGGCTCTTGGGCCCCTGCTCCAGTTGTAGGCGGGTAAGTGTGTGGATGAAATGGGTCTGAACTCGTGCCTGATTAAATTCCACACGGCCCTTGGGATTCTCACAGCCCTCTCTGCAGCAGCCACATGGGAATCCTGTATGGTCCATCTGCAGAGAAAGGAGAGGCACAAGTGAGGACTTCGTGTAGCACAAAAAAACCCCCAGGCTCAGGCTCCCCACCCCAGTCTAGTATAGCCACCACACCTGGCACTCTCCCAGTCTCACACTCCCTACCCCCAGCTAGGTCAAGCCACCGCACCTGGCACTTGATGCCTGCCAGGCTGCAGCTGCAGGTCTCAGGGTCACAGACCCTGTCACAGTGACAGCCACAATCTTCCCGGGATTGGCGCAATGCCTGCAGCTCTCGCTTCTCCTCCCGATCAATCCTTCGAACACCTGCAGCCCGCAGCAGAGCTCGTCGTCGCCGGGCTGGGTGGGGCTGTAGGAAGTTAACTTCCTCCAACCGGCCACCTGCCACAGCCACTGCCAAGTCCTCTTCCACAGCGGCATCATCAATGGCATCCACTGCAAGAGGCTGGCCTGCCTCTGTCTTGGGTACCCCAGCTGCTGAAAGCTGCATCCATGGGAGAGAGAAATGTGAGAGGCACAGATAGGACATGGATTTACCTCCAGTCATGAAACAAACCCTCCCCAAGTGCTTATTCTACGCTGTGGATATGATAGTGAGCAGTACAGTCAAGAGCACCACCGTCAGGGCAGTTGTTAAAAAAACGAACAAACAAACAAAAGCGATGTCCTATTCAAGTCACTCCTCAGATCATGGACTTAATTCCTCCCCAGCGAGTCAGATACACACTTCCAATATCACATCAACCCCCTATACCCTCCCCAATAAGGTCAGACGGATCCAGGCATCATGCCCCGAGCTGCTGAGACAACTAGACAGGCAGCTTCATGTGCCTCCCCATCTGCAGAGAATCACGGCAACAGAATCTAATCAAGGCATTCACCAGGGCGATGTACTTTTCCACTATGTATATGGGCCTGTTTTCCCATATGCATACTGAGAAAGTCAGCACCCAATCCTGGTGTGCCTTCCCTTCAAGGTTAGGACTCCAGGAGCTACCTGAGGCTGAGGGTCAAGGAGGGGGTCTCCCCTACCTTCCACTGCAGCATCTCCAGCTTCTCTTCCTTCAAGCGCTGGCGGAGCTTCTCGCGCCGTACCCGGGCTTGCTCCTGACTAAACTCAGCCAAGGAGAAGTGGCGACTGGCACTGTGGCGAGAGGCCATGCCCAGAGTACAGCCACCACGGCTGGGCACACTGGTGAAGCCCTGGCACCGGGGGAAGTAGAAGACAGTGATGCCGTCAAAAGCTACACGACTTGGGCGCTGCCGGGGAGCCCGCTTCAGGATGGACGGGGCTAGAAAATGGGCAGAGAAAGGTCAGGAATTAGTTCTCTATGAAGCACAGCATAACCTCCAGGAGGATCCTGCCCGATCAACTGTCCTCACCCCTTCCCTTCTCTGCCCACCTTAAAAAAAGAAACAGATCTCAAATTAGGAGCCAGCTTGGCTAAGATGGGAGTTGCTAAAACCGAACACCACATCCATGTCAACCCTGGCTAATTTTTTTTTTTAGAAACAGAATCTCACTGTCACCCTGGGTAGAGTGCTATGGCATTATCATAGCTCACAGCAACCTCAAACTCTTGGGCTCAAGAGATCCTCTTGTCTCAGCCTCCCAAGTAGCTGGGACTACAGGTGCCCACCACCACACCTGGCTAATTCTTCTATTTTTAGTAGAGATGGGGTCTCACTTTTGCTCAGGCTGGTCTAACTTCTGAGCTCAAGCAATCCATCCAGAGTTCTAGGATTACAGGTATGAGCCACCGTGCCCGGCAACCCTGGCTTATTATCTGAGTCCAAGTGATAGTGTTTATAAAATTAAACATCTTTCCCGACTTTATTAGCCACCTATGGGCCCCTTGTACAGTTTTCTAAAAATTTTTTATTGATTTGTAGGAGCTCTTATGATATGAGCAACAATAATCATCTGTCTAACCTACAGACACAGATATTTTAATCTTACACTTTTGTTTGATACTTTACCAAATTTTTATAAACAAAAGTATTAACCTCTTTCTTTATCACATCTATATTTTGCAAAAGTCTAAGAAAGGGCTTCTCTTTAGAAGTTACTGATTATAAGGCAGCATCTGTGGCTCAGTTGGTAGGGTGCCAGCCCCATATACCGAGGGTGGCGGGTTTGAACCCGGCTCCCCGGCCAAACTGCAACAAAAAATAGCCGGTCATTGTGGTGGGTGCCTGCAGTCCCAGCTACTTAGGAGGCTGAGGCAAGAGAATCGCCTAAGCCCAGGAGTTGCAGGAGTTGGAGGTTGCTGTGAGCTATGACACCATGCACTCTACCGAGGTCGATAAAGTCAGGCTCTGTCTCTTAAAAAAAAAAAGTTACTGATTGTATATTGATTAGCAAGGTATGTATTGGTCTTTATATTAGGTTGAACCAAATTACCATAAAATGGCTGAATATAGGCAATTCCATATTTCAACTCTATGCCCAAATATCTAAGGGAATTCCTTTTTGCAGTTTTTGGCTGGGGTTGGGTTTGAACCCTCCACCTCTGGCATATGGGGCTGGCATCCTACCCCTTTGAGTCACAGGCGCTGTCCGGGAATTCTCTTTTAAAAGTTTTTCTTTTTAATATTGTTAGATTCTATGTGCTAAAAATCATACTTTTTTATATACATAATATACAGACAGACATACAGTACATAAAAAGTATAAAGAGTATGTCTGGGGTATTAAAATTTCATAGGGGAGTAATTAGGAGGAAAATGTCTACAAAGGTTCCTTGGAGGTGAGGGAAGTGATAATAAAAAATAAGGTTGAAAAACACTGCTCCACAGGGCCGTCTTTGTCAGTTTGCAATCAGAATTATAGAAGCTTAAATGACTGGGGTAAAAAACCTTTTCAGTATGTTCAGGCAAAGGCAAACAGCATTTTGACAGGAGAGGGACCGGCTTGACAGGCCCCATGGTAGAGAAGTGCGGGGCGAGGAACTCCAGCAGTTCCTCTTGTAGGAGGGCAGGGTGCATGCTGGGGAAACGAAACTGGAACAAAGGGAGGGGCTGGAGAGGGAAGGCTGCAGGGCTACTCTGAGGAGCTGCATCCTGGACATCATTACTCCCAGGGTCAAACGTGAATCACTCTGGGCTCAGGTGCCGCTGGACAGTGAGCACTGAACAGCCACTGCACCATGGGACGCAGATTTGGCGAGGAGCCAAGTGAGAGACATAGCGCCACGGAGACAACCTCCAGAAGCCGAAAGGGTGGTGTCAGGGCCTCCAAATCTCATTTTTCAGGAAGGAGTGTGGTGGGATGCCCAGGGGAGAAAGGACTCACGCATGAAACTTCGGGGGCCAGAGAAGTCACGAGGCAGGGGCGTCTGATCCCAGAGGCCATCCTCATCTGAGTCCCAGGCAGGGGAGACAGAAGAGCTTGGGGAGCAAGAGCGAGAGTGGCAGCTGGAGGAGGAGAAGGAGCAGAATGAGGAGTCGTCCTCATCCACCTGGTCAAACTTCCTCTTCAATAGCCCAGTCATGGTGGTGCAGGGGTGCTCTGGGGTCTGGGAACAGACAGCCTGGAATAGAAATGAGAAGGTTCTAAGTGGCAGGCTGACGGCAGCAGCGGGCCCTCAGCCAAGTCTCCATTCCTCCCACTTACCCTCTAAAGCATCCCAGAACCCCTGCCCAGCCCTCCAGCCCTGCCTATGGTGCTCTGTGTGCAGGGAACATAGTCTCCAGGAAGCTCTTCTACACAAGACCCAGCACCTCCTTCCCTCCAAACTTAATGTACAAATCCACAGCCTGGTGCTTTCAAACTCCCGTGACCTCTGCCCAAAGCCTTCCCAGGAAACCACCAAGCAAATTCCCCACCACCTCCTACAATCCACCCCCACACACACATCCATACCAGCAAGGGCAGGAGGCAGACAGACCAACAGATGGACTGACAGACCTCAACCCAGCCTCACTCGTTCCCCGACAGGAATCCTGGGGGCTGACTCACTGGCTGGGTGATTCACACGGCTCGCATCTGTGTGCCTTTGTGTGTATGTGAGCATGTGAGGCCGTCTGCACACCCGACAGCCTGCACAGCCCTCATATGGTGGGTCTGCTTCCTCCTCCAGCACACCCACACAGACATGCTACCCTGCACACAGACAAGGCCACAAGCCCTTGTTCTAGGGCCAGGCTGACCAGGCACTCTGGGGAACAGGTTGGCTTTGACACTGATCCACATTCCCAGACAGAGCCCCTCCCCTGCCAGTGATGGAGTTTCTCAGACTTTCCCTTAGAAACCCCCTCCCTATAGGAGAGAAATCCCTGCCTCCCAGCCTAACTGTGTGACCAGAGTTGTTCAGTGGATTTAATGTCCAGTGTCTCTTCTGTCTGTGGCCTCCCAATGTGGAACACCCCCAGGAAACACCAGGGTGTCTCCCCTTTGAGGGTCTCAGCCCTTAGCAGAAGTGTAACCAGAGACTCCCCTGGCCAGAGTGGTTCATCTGGGTGGGAGGGCTTGGGCTTCTTCCCCTGAATGCCTCCACTAATAACATCCCCTCCCAAGACCTGGGAACCCCCAGAGGATTCAATCCTAAGGGCTGAGTACAGCTACCTTGTGTCTGTTGCTTTGTCCTGCTGCACTCAGGGCTGGCCCCCAGGAGATCACCAGGAGGAAGGGGAAAGAAGCAAGGCCCCAGTGCTGGGGAACCCTCCCCCACCACCATCACAGGAAATGAGAGCGAACAGGAAAAACCAACCAGTAGGCTGTCTTGGTCTCTTCTTCTCAGGTGTCCCTTCTTACCACCCCTTCCCCTTCTCCCAAGCCTCTTACGATGTCTCTGAACCCCGAAAAGTATGCCCGTTAACCTCCTAACTGGCTAAAATTCATTCAAGGGACAGCCTCCTCTACGGAGGCATGAGAGAAACAAGAAAATCTCCCTGGCCAATCCCTTACCCTGGGCCTGAGGGAAGAAGACTCACAGATGTTTCCGGGGCTTCTCAGTGGGTAGTTTCTCAGGCTTGGCACCCTCCTCCCAGGGTCAAACCACAAATAAAAACAACCCTGCTCCCAGCTGACCTGCAGGCCCTCTCAGGAGATGGGGGACTCGTGACCCAGAGGCAGACATGCACACACACACACAAAGAACACACAGAAACACATATAGACAAACAACGCCCACATACCCTGTCCTCATCACAGTCCTGCCAGGAGACTCCATCCTTTCCCAAATTCCAGATGCTGTCTACAGGGTTCCAAATGCCATCACACACCCAAACCTGAGACCACCCCAGAGCTAATGGCTCCCTTGATATTTCTGCCTGGCTGTCCCTTAGAAACATAAAATTCTGCAGGCCCCAAATCGAACCCCTTGTCTATTCCCCACCCCCAACCCTGTGCCATCTGTTCCTCTTCCTGTGTTCCCTATCTTAGTAACAGCACTGCCACCCACCCAGTTACTCAAGCCAGAAACCTGCATCATCCTCAACTGCCTACCCCCCTTCTCCATCTATACCCAGGCACCTAAGCCCAGAAGTTCACATAAATCCCTTTAATCCACACAAGGCCAGGCACAGGCTCAGTGGGCATCGTGGAGGCTGCCTGGCACGGTGTTTTGAACTTCAGCTCTAGAACCAGGATGCCTGGGCTTGAACCCTGGCTTGGCTATTAGCTGAGTAATCATGGGCAAGCTCCCTAACTTCTCTGCATCTCTAATTCTTTTTTTTTTTTTTTTGGTAGGGACAGAATCTCTTGTCACCCTTGGTAGAGTGTCGTGGCATCACAGCTCACATCAACCTCCAACTCCTGGGTTTAGGTGATTCTCTTGCCTCAGCCTCCCAAGTAGCTGGGACTACAGGTGCCCGCCACTATGCCCACCCAGCTATTTTTTTTGTTGCAGTTTGGCCAGGGCTGGGTTTGAACCTGCCACCCTTGGTATATGGGGCTGATGCTCTACCCACTGAGCCACAGGTGTGGCCCTGCATCTCTAATTCTTTACCTTAAAGTCTTCTAGAGTTGGGAGGTTTACAAAATCAATACAAGTTCTTAGAACAGTGATAAGCACTCAGTGAATGTGTTACCCTACACTGTAAAAAAGAATGAGCTCGTGGATACACACAACACAGATGAATCTCACACACATCATGTTGAGTGAAAGCTAGACACAAAACGCATGTGAATGAAGCTTAAGCCAAGATCGGCTTGGCACCTGTAGCTCAAGCAGCTAAGGCACCAGCCACATACACCAGAGCTGGTGAGTTCGAATCCAGCCCAGGCCTGCCAAACAACAATGACAACCACAACCAAAAAATAGACTGAGTTGTGGCGGGCACCTGTAGTCCCAGCAACTTGGGAGGCTGAGGCAAGAGAATCACTTAAGCTCAGGAGTTGGAGGTGGCTGTGAGCAGTGATGCCACGATACTCTACCCAGGGCAACAGCTTGAGGTTCTGTCTCAAAAAAAAAAAGAAAAGCCAAGACCAATGGGTAACTCTAGTCAGAATAGTGGTTCCAAGGGGAGGGGCATACATCCCTGAGTCATGAGGGAATTTTCTGGGGGTGCTGGAAATGTTCCATGTTGATCTGGTATCTCGTCTTTGTCCCTACAGCTGCGCTACTTCTGTCCCCTGCCTCTGCTGCTGGCCCCCTATTCATTCTTTACCCTGCGGCCAGAATCATCTTCTTAAACCACACATCTACCTGCCACTCCCATTCTTAGAACCACTCCATAAGCTTCCCTCAGGGAATCCTGCCCTCAGGATCAAGTCCAGAATTCAGGACTTGATCAAGTCCAGAAACCTAGCCCTGGTTTCCCCTCCAGCTTCATCATGCAGGACACTCCTCAATCCCCTCCCTATACTCCAGCTGAACTTGCAGCTAGTTACTAATGGCCACATCCCAGCTCACCTCCAGGCCTTTGCTCAAGATGGAATGACAGATTGAGATTCTATCTGGGGGGGGGGGTCGGCTCGGCACCCATAGCTCATGGCACCAGCCACATACATACAGGCTGGCAGGTTTGAACCTGGCCCAGGCCAGCTAAACAACAATGACAACTTTAACCAAAAAATATCTGCGCGTTATGGCAGGCGCCTGTAAGTCCCAGCTACTTGGGAGGCTGAGGCAAGAGAATCGCTTAAGCCCAAGAGTTGGAGGTTGCTGTGAGCTGTGATGCCACAGTATTCTATGAGAGCTATACAGTGAGACTCTGTCTCAAAAAAAAGTCATCTCCAAAGGGACTTTCTGAATCCCCCACTTTTCCCCCTGCCTCTCTGGCTTCTGTTATGGACAGAAGATTTGTAGCCTACCAAAATTTGTACGTTGAGGTGGAATCTTTTGGGGGCAGGGCTTTTGTGAGGTAATTAGATCATGAATGAGATTAGTACCATAAGAAGAGACACAACAGAGATGCTCTCTGTCTCCACCACATGAGGAGACAGCAAGAAGGCATATCTCCCTATAAATCAGGAGGAGGGTCCTTACCTGCCACCTTGTTTTTAAAACTTCCTAACCACCAAAAGTGTAAAAAGTAAATTTCCTTTGTTTAAGCCACCCAGTCCATGGTCTTTGTGTTACAGAAGCCTGAACTAAGACAGCTCCCACAGGCCCTGGAATTTCCCCCATCACAGGCCCTATCTAACTATACTGCGATGGCTTCATTGCTAATCTGCCTCACATCAGGCTCACATTTCTGCCTGTCACTGTGCCCAGGCATAGAGTCTGGTAAGGAAAGGGCACTTGACAATGTTAGAGGTAAGCAGGCTGGCCCCACATATCAGGTATAAACACAGAGAAATGATCTTTATGCACATGAGGTCACTGTGACCTCATGTGCGGGGTGAAGACAGTATGACCTTCTTCTATCACAGTTAATTTAAGAAGGGAGCCATATGGCTATCCCCTAGCCTATGCCAGAGGGTTTAAGCAAGAATATTGCTCAAAAGGGGTGGCTCTGAGGGCAGGAGAGAGAAGCTTAGGCCACAGACAGGTGCCAACATAGGCATCGCAGGAAGTTCCCTGTTTCCCAAGAGCAAACAGATGGTGAGAGAAGTCAAGAAAGCAGGTTCAAATCAGACACCATTCCTGACTCAGGGATGTCCACACAAAGACTAAGGTGAGGGGGTTATGACCACCAAGGCTGAAGACAGGGAAACAGAAACACAAGGAAGCTATGGCCAAGCTGAAGGTTCTAGTGCTGAACTCCTTACAGGATCTGCAGACATAGAATGAAATGAATTATCTCCTTCTGGATAGTCCTTTGGGGAGGCAGGAAGAGGGAAGGAAGCGCACCCCTGGATCTCATGCTCCCTCTGTCCCACCTGGGAATCCAGAGGCTGAGAGAGGCAGAGGCTGGAGATGAGACAAAAAAGGCAGAGCCAAAGACAGGAGAGGCCAAGTCAGAAAAAGGAATGAAAGATAGCGAAAGAGTCCAAGAAAAGTGTCAGACAGTGAGTCAGAGAGTGGGGGAGGGGCCCTCAGCAGCTACCCAGGAATCAAGATCCTGACCATGGCTCTGTTCCCAGGGTGAGCACAGCCCCCTTCTAGGGTCCTGGAGGAAGGAAAGGCAATTCCCAGGAGCTGCCTCAGACAGAAATACCACACCCTCAGGAGCCCCAGAGACAGGCCCTGAATCAAAGAGAACCAGGCTTCTTCCGGGATCTGACAGAGCCCTGAGAATCAGGAGGCCCTCCTGCCACCACACACCAGGATGGGGGAGGGTGGGCACGCCCCTCACTGCACTGTCAATCCAGGAAGGTCACCTTACCCCCACTCCTCCACCCTCCAAGCAACCAAAGGCTGCTTAAGGGAGGAGGGGTATCTATAGGACTCAGAAAAGCCACAGCAACTCTTCTGCCCACCTCAGCAGTCCCACCAAAGCCCCAGCCCCCAGCAGGAGCGGATCTTAGGGAGGGGTCACCTTTAGCTGCCTCCATCCCCCTCCAGGAATCTGAAGAATGTGTCCTTTAACCTCAGAGCCCCAGGCTTTGGCCAGTCCCCCCCAAACACCTAGGGTCACATGGCCCCAGGCCACCAGGAACTACTTCCTGGGAGAAAGGGAGGGAACCTCTAAGCACCTCTGGCCCCCACTGAAAAACCAGCCTGGACAGCCCAAAGAGGACAGACAGGAAGCCTTGGCACCCCTCCCCCACCCATCCCTCTGAAAGTGATCTCAGGGGAGGGGACGGTTCCTCAGCCTTGGCCTCTGGGGCCTGGCATTGGGGAGGTGCCAAATGTTTGCTGGCTACATGATGCACTAGCTTCTGCAGAAGGGAAAATTGCACCTGACAATGACAGCCTCCTCCACCTAAGCAGAGCCTCCTTTGCTCTCTCATTCATTCATTCAACAAATATTTATTGAGCTCCCATGATGAGCTAAGCACTGGCAGGCATTCTGCATACAGTGAGCAAGACCTACACAAATGCCTGCTCTTTTGAAGCCAAGTTGAGTGGGGAAGAGAACCACAGTGCAAGGTGCTGGGACGCAGGGTTGGAAGGTTAGACTGGAGGGGTACAGCTGGGGTTTCAACAAGGGTGAAGGACTTGTGGAGGTAAAACCAGTGGGGGAGGGGCGGCCAGAGAGGAGGCAGAGCTCCAGGACAGGTTTTAGCCTGAGGGCAGGCGAAGCCACAGAAAGGTTTTAGTAGGGAGTGACAATACCAGATTTGCATTTTCTAAAGATGGCTCAGCAATAGAACTGAAGGGGGTGTGGCCTTTGGGGGTGCAGCTAGGTGAGTAGACAGGTCAAGGACACAGGAGAAAGACAGTGGACTTGGAGAGGAAGCCAGTGGAAAAGAGGGCAGGGCTGTCAGAATTTGGGGGTGGGAGAAGTGATGAGTTACCCTCCAGAGGACTATGAGACTGTGAATGGAGGCGTTAGGTGGGCATTGGGAGCCGGGGAGGGACCTCCTGGTGTCAGGAGTGTGGGCTTTGGCTGCGTGATTGTGCCGGGGCGCGGGAGTGACTAAGTGATGTGGGCATCTTAACAGTGCGTGCCTGCGAAAGGGCCCCAGGGTAGGGGAAACTGAGGAAGGGGAGGAATACGTGCCAGGAAGGGAATAGAGTGCGTGGGAGAGAGCCTACGTGTGCCAGGGGATGGCCGGTGTAGCAGCGCCCGTGACTCACAGCGGTGGCCTCTGCGTGTGACGGTGACTGACAAACAGGTGAGCGTACGACACAATCCCTCCTCTCCCTCCCTCCCAGAGTCCGTGACTCACTGAGCCTCACTCCTGGCTCATGCCTCCACTCCCTCCCTGACCCCAGCTGGCCGGGGGCGCCTGGCACATGCCACCGCCCGTGCACCCTCCCCGAGGGGAGGCCGAGAAGGAAGGCGACAAATGTCACCTGCTCTAGCCACGCGAGTAACTTCTAAAAAGTTCTCAGGCAACTGGGTCAAAAGGAAACTCACTCACGGACGCGCGCACCAGTCACCTGGCCGCCCGCGAGCAACCCTCGCTCGGCTGCCAACCGCACTGAACTCGGGGCGCCATGACTTCTTGGGGTAACCTAAGCAAGGCGGGGGAGGGGAGCCGAAAACCCGCGACTCCCGTCTTCCAGGCTCCCTGCCCCGGACTTCGGCGGTGGCAATAAGTCTGGGGCTGTGGTGGGCTGGGCTGCTCCAGCCCCGGCGTCCGCTCAGGGTGCGGGGGAGCGAATGGCAAGGGCTGGAGCAGCGGTACCACTCGCGCCGGGCGTCCCCTCCCCAAAGTCCAGTCCAGCCGGGCTCGGGTCCCCTCAGCGCTCACCTGCGATCCGGACTCTCTCCAAGGGCACCAACGCAACCCGGGTCCCAGCCGGGGATGGCCCCAGTTCCGCGACTCTGTGCGCTCGGCTGGGCAGCCGTCGGTCAAGCAGCCCCTAGCTCTACACGTCCGGCAGCGGCGGCGGCAGCGGGAGACTGGCTGCGCCCGGCCCCGCCCGCCGCTCCGCCCTCCTAGTCAGTGGAAAACTCCGGGACTCACGGCGCTGACGCACGCCGGGCCTCCCGCCAGGCCGCCCAGCAGCCCCGCCCCGGAGGCACCGCCTCCTCCCCCGCCCGGAGCTCTGAGCTGCAGCCGTAGGGCCTCCCTGCGGACTCTGACCCCGCGGCGGTGCCTCTGCCGCTCTCCGCCCCCAGCCCCCTCCGGCCCTCGCCCTTCCCCGCCCCGCCTCCCGCGCGGTTGCAACCGGTGCAGACGTTCCGAACCCGCCGAGCCTGGTCGTAAAGATCTCCACCTTGCCCCACCGCCCCGCTTACAGATGGGTAGACTGAGGTCTGGAGCAGCGCGTAACTCCTTAAGGCCACCGGGCTAAACAGTGGCGGAACAAGGTCTTTTACAAGCTCCCACCCCCACTCCACCAGAGGCAGGTTATAAACGTTCCCTCCTCCTCCCCTACCCTATCACCCACTCCAAGATCCGCCAGAAAAGTAAACTGGGACTGGAGATGAACCTGGGTGTGTGGGAAACTGGTAAGGGGCAGAGGGAAGGATGTCATCCGTAGGCCTGACCATCACTTCTGCCTATGGACCGGAGATACTTACCCTGCATTAGTTCTGAGTTGGGGTCCTGGGAACCAGTTTCCCCAACCCCATCCTACCTCTCCTTTAAAAAACAAACAAACAAACAAAAAAAAAAACGTGATTTCTTCCAGGCCAGACCCTGGCCACTTAAAATGGCCCACTGCTTTCTTTGCTCCCGCCAAGGCCTGAACTGACTCAGGGCCACCCCTCCCTGTGCCGCCTGCCCGGCAGCCAAGTCCTGGCCCTGGAGTCCAGCCTGAGCCCCACTTCCCAACCGCAGGCCTGATTCTACACATCACCTTGAGCGCTTCCACCCTCACACCTTTGCTGCAGCCGTTCGTCTCGCCTGGAATGTGTCTTTTTTGTCCTGTCTGCTTACCAGAATCGCAACGCCTTTAAGGGCTCAGCTTGCACTGCCTCCTCCGGGGAGCCTTCGAGGGAGCCTGACCCTCCCCCTCCCAGTACTGCTCCCGCTGCATTCTGGGTTCTTCTGCCTGTCCTAGATGGATACTGTCAGCCACTAGCCCAGCCCTCAGGATTCCATTCTACCTTCCTCCAGGTGGGGGGTGGGAGTGACTTCCTGTCCTGAATGGCATTTAGAGTATAGAAGATGGCGAGAGCCCCTCTTCAGCCACAGGTGTGTATGTAGAGGGGGCTAAGCAGGGGTCTACCCACTCTTTACCTTTCCCTGAAGAACAATAGGAAGAAAGCAGGTTGGGAGATAAAGTCCCTGTCCTTTCTGATGCGTTGAGTGTGTGTACCTGGGGGCCAGTAGGGGGAGGTTTCTGGGCAGCTGGAGCCAAGCTTCCAATGGCTTCCCAATGCCTTCTGGATGAAGCCTCAACTCTTGGGGCCTACAGAGCCAGAGTAATCTGGCCCTTGCTCACCTCTGCAATCTCATCTCTCTTTTCATAGCCCCATTCCTCACTCCCTTCCCTGTCTGTTTCCGTGTCATTAATGTGTGTGTCCTTTTGTTCTTGTGCTTTTAACGTTATTCCTGCCCATGGGGTATTTGTTCCAGCTTCACCTCTACATTCCCACCTAACACCCTTGATACCTGCAGCCCTCTTTGTCAGTGATCTGTTCTCAAGTGTCTTGTGGTTCAAACTTTCAGGGGTGCTGTGCTTTACCTGCACCTGCCTTCTACCCACTTAGTTGTGTGGTTTCTTCTGCATTTTCTTGTATGTTGTCTGAGTTGAACTTGATCATTCCTCTATCCCCAATGCTTGGTAAGAACTTGCTGAGTAAATTAAATGTACCTAGTAAATGGGTAAAATTGCTAGGGCCCAATGTGAAGGCAGGGCTGGAGTGTTGGTGGCAGTGGAGGGAGCCTCAATGCAGCATGTTGAAGCTATAGTGTGGCTGAGATTGCTCAGGAAGGAGTTTAAAGGCCACAAGCTGGGTGTCAGTTGCTAGAGGTGACTCAGCTCTCAGGGCTTTAAGGGGCAGCCCCCCAAGGCCACCCATACGCCACTACTACCCTTAGTCACTCAGCCATACTGTCCCTGCTGCTTCCAGCTACAGTCCTCAGTTGTCCCAAAGAATCCTTTCCACTGCCTGCTTTCCTGAATGTGTCTAATCCCTATGCCAGGTCTTCAACAGAAAGGGTTTTTTTTGTAATACCTAGAAATGAAGTTCTATTTAGGTTTCTGTCCCTGGCTGCCTGTATCCCTCATGCTTGCTGGCCTTCAGCTTTCCAATCTGTAAAATGGGAGCATTGAACCAGAGACTCCTCTAGCTTCAGCATTCCTTAAACTCAGTTTCTGAAAGATATTGCCTACTGGTAAGGGAACTGGGCAGGGTTGGGCACTACTCAGGCTGCCTAGGTTTGCATCCTTCTGGGCTATGTATTGGGAAAACAAGATTAAGACAAATCAGGGCAGGGAGTTGACAGGGTTAAGGGTACAGGCTTAGAGCAGGATGCCCAATGGGTGATGAAGTTTAGGGAGCAGGAGGAGAGAATAAGGGAAAATATTGGAGAATAAAAAGAATCAAATAAGTGATGTGTTTTCTCCAGAAAATCATCTCCCTGTCCTAGGATGGGTTCACCAGATGTTCCCCAGATGTTGCTGGTAAATGGGAAATATCTCCCTCTGGGATTCCAACTGAGCTCTTCCTGTTCATGGGGAAATGGTCTGGTCCAAGGCAGTGAGGGTGGGATCTGGAGCAGCATCCATCTGTGGCTATGGCACATATAAGCAGAAACACACCCACACATCCTCAGGGAATTTCTGAATACTTGGAAGAGTCCTACAAGTTTCTCAAACATTCAACATCCATGGACCACCCACTTTAGGTAAATAAAAATTATCACAAATTTTAAATAATTTTAAAAGTGAAATTAATGATATATTCCTGTCAATAAGACTAAAATCGAAAGGACTAACTACTAAATGTGACAAGATTGAGAATTAATCAGATGTGTCACATATTGTTGATGAAAGGGTGAATTGACACAATTATCTTGGAAAGTAATTTCACAGTACCTACTAAGGTTAAACATAGGTAAACTATGATCTTGTAATTCCACCCCAAGAGAAAAAAGATGCTTATATCCACCAAAAGACATTATGAGAATGTTATAGTCATTTTATGTATAAAAGCCCCAAATTGAAAATAACCAAAATGTCCACTAATAGGGAATAGAAATAGACTGTGATGTATCATACAGTGGATTATTACATAGCAATGAAAAAGGACAGAATATTGCCTCATACAGTGCTATGGTTTGAATGTCCCAAAACTCATGCTGAAATTTATTTGCTGTGTGAGAGTGTTGAGAGGTAAGACCTTTAATAGGTGGTTAGGTTATGAGGGCTCTGCCTTCATGAATGGATTAATGCCCTTATCTTGAGATTAGGTTAGTTATCGTAGAAGTGGGCTCTTAATAAAAGTTCCACACCCATTTCTGTCTGTCTCATGCACCTATTTGCCATGTAGTGCCTACCACCATGGACTGATCCTCCCTAGTCCATGCTCTTGGACTTTATAGTCTCCAGAACTTGAACCAAATAAATTTATTTTCTTTATAAGCTACCCAATCTGTGGTATTCTGTTATAGTAGTAAAAAATGGGCTAAGACATACAATAGCTTAAAACATCTTAAAATTTTAAAAACATTGTATTGAGTAAAAGAAGCCAAGCACAAAAGAGTAAAGACTATAATTCCATTTATTTATATGATGTTTAAAAACAGGTGAACTAAAGCACCATGATAGATAATGTTGTCTTTAGGGTGCTGACAAGGAAGGGGCCTAAAAGAGCCTTCGGGGGTGCTGGAGAGGTTCTATATCTTGGTCTGGGTAGTGGTTGGATGGGTGTAAATATTCAAGTTCTTTGGGATTTGTTTACTGTAAGTTTTTCCCCAGTGGAAAAAAAAAAAGGAAAAAGAAGGAAGAAAGACAATTATAGTACCATAATTGTGAAAGGGAGGCCAGTGTTTTTAGCCTTCCACCAATAAGCCTACACCTGCATCACTGAGGGATACCTATAGTTCACTGGTCGAGTTCAACTAGAGTCCTCCATCTGCATTAGTGTTCCAATGGTCTGGAGAGTTTTCCAACACCTACGACCAATTCTCTGATTCTCTGGGCACTAACTGAGTGTTCAACAATTGATTTGAACTCTGACACTACCTGGAGTAATCCAGACTCCATAGTTTAGGGTTCAGTCCTAGGAAACTGCACTCTGCCCTCCGCAACTGACAGCAATTACAAGTCCAGGTCTTTGTACATCTGACAACCTATAAATTGGGGTTCCCATAAGCCCCTCGTAAGGTTTGATAATTGGTTAGAATTCCTAGACTCAGGAAAGACATTTTACTTATCTTTTTATTATAAAGGATACAAATGAACAGCCAGATGAAGAAATACTTTCATGGTCTATTTGCATTGCTAGTAAAGGAATACCTGAGACCAGGTAATTAATTTATAAAAAAAAATAAGTTTATTTGGCTCATGGTCCTGTATGCTGCACAAGAAGCATAGTGCCAGTACTGCTGGCTTCTGGTGAGGGCTTCCAGCTGCTTCCACTCCTGGCAGAAGCAAAGGGGAGCCAGCTATGCAGAGATCATATGGCAAAAGAAAAGGCAAGGGGACGAGGTGCTGGTCTGTTTTTAAAAACCAGCTCCAGCGGGAACTAAAGGAGCGAAAACTCAGTTTATTACCTTGAGGACAGTATCAAACCACTCATGAAGGATTTGCCCCCATGATCCAAACATCTCCCATGAGGACCCACCTTCACCACTGGGGACCAAATTTCAACATGAGATTTGGAAGGGATAACATCCAAACTATAGCAGATAGTAGGGCAAGGTTTGCACATGTCCTGAGCACAGGAGTTTCTGTCCCAGTGGAATTGACATGTGCCCCATTCTTGGTGTATTCTTGTGACTGTGGATGCGTTCACAGGTCC